GTCCGACGCGTACCGGCGTCTCGTGTGTGAAGCCGCGGAGTGTGAAATCCCATCCTGAAACTCAGGTAACACTCCATTCAAATGGAATCTAAATACTTCAATATCATGGTACTACTATAAAGGTCCGTTCTTCCCTTACATTGCAATCTTCTCGTATAATCATGTCCATATGCTATCTGAATCTGTCATACGAGTCCATTGGAGTATGTGTTCGCTCCCCTATCATTCGCAACCGGCCGGCCAAACCTCCCGAAATTTGGAAAGCGACCATTGCCCCCTGCTGCGTTTGCCTCCTGCATAGCGACACCATTTCCACCATTCTGTTGCATGCTCAGCAACCGCTGCTCTGACAGCTCGCCTTTGTGGACGCCCCGTGCCATGCGCAGGTCGTAGAAGAACGTGAGGAGATAGAATGTGTACCCGAAGGCGATCACCCACTCGAGGATAGCTGTAGACGACACACGTCAGTGAGAAGTAGAGGTTGCTCGGATATAAGTGATGCAGACCTCCGACGTTTGGAGCTTGGTAGAGCGCAATGGCGAACGCGATGGCACACAGGATTAGCAAGATGGCGATGACACCTTTCGCGATATATGCGCGCTTTAGTTTGCGGATTTCAACGAAATCATGGCTGATCCATCGGTACTGATTGTCGCAGCCACCAGGGTGAGGCATACACAAGCAGAGAGACATGAGATACGTACCTCAAGAATGGTGAAGATCGCGCTGAGGCCGACACCGACGATGAAGACCAAAAGGAAGACGCGATGCAAGGATGGGTGCCTGCCCGTGTCGAATATCGAGAGGAGTATCAACCCCGCGCCACCAATGAACGAACCCAGGATGGCCATGGAAGACAGTGCGCGTTCTCGGCGACGCATATTCGGAACCAGCCTGATCGCTGCGTTGTCAGTTGCACCTCCACTGCTGCGATAGTTTCCAACTTACCGGCCAGAGTGCCGTAGCCATCGCTCGCAAACAAGGGCGAGGAAGAAGCTGACGCCGGTTATGCAGCAGCATACGATGAACAACGGCTTCAAGTAACTTGCGCCGATGTCAGAGATGTATGCTATGCTCCCCTGCTGCGTAACATATTTCGGCCGTCCAGTAGCGAGCCATGCGATTAGCATGGATAGTAATGTTCCTGAAAATAAATTTAGCCTTGCACTGCGATGCGCTATTCACGACAGACTGACCGAACCATATGAAGGCTCCGAAGATTGGGACCCAGGCAAACGCCCAGTAGCGGTGCTCATATGCTACTACCGCCATGCTATGGGGATTCTGCCAAGTTGCGAAGACGGTGTGTGAAGGTTGTTGGAGGACGAGGAGCTGAGGAGGGAGGAGGACACATCTGGGGCCTGGGCATGGACGTTATAGCGGAGTGCTGCATCCGCGCAGTCTCAACCACAATCTGCCCTGCCACTGACGTCAAGCCCCGCGAGGCACGTCATGCCAATTACGCGCTCAGGTCATTACACCCGTCTGTACATACTCTACATAGCCAACGATCTATAGTGATGGACAAGCTTATAACATGGATGGATCAAGACTAGCAGTACTTCAGAAAACATAATCGGACAACGAGGTAATAAATGCACGAACAGGAGTATCAATAGTATCAGACAGATAGAAATAGCCACTGACCACAACAATGCTACAACGTAATTCCAACGGCACCGTCCACAACACACAACTGCAAATCCCTCAGCACGGACATGCCTCCGCAGATGCAGACGAAAGGGGTGCTGCCTTCTCGGTCTGCGCAAGCTTCCTGAAGATCTGTGCGTATGTCCAATAAGTCATTGTAAACCGCCGGCACACAACGACTCAACTCACTTGCGTGTACACTTCCGCAGTTTGACCACCAATGACGGCCCATCGCCCATCGATGATCACAAACGGGACACCGGTCACGCCTTTTTTACGGGCCTCAGCCGACATTGCCTCGACCTCCTCCAAACAGTCGTCGGACTCGAGGAATTTGACCGTCTGACAAGTGCAGACACACGTGACACGTGTTTAGAACATGTCCTGGACCCAGTACACAGCAATGCTTACCTCCTCCTTAGACATCACTCCGGTCGCCTCCGCAATCTCACCAAGCACCTCAAAATCGCCGAGGGCCCTGCCCTGCTCGAAATACGCCTTGTGCAGGGCGTTGATGAATGCTTCCTGGAAGGGCTGACCCCCGAGCTTCCATGCCTTCAGGCTCACGCGGTGTGCCCGCGTCGTCTGCGTAATGGTGCCTTCATAATTGCTGCAAGCAGGTGAGCGAGTGTTCGTGAGGCGCCGACAGACCGACTGCGATGTGCTCCGGCCGAGCATCGTGCAAGCCTGCGGGAGCACAACCAGCGCCGGTCAACCAGGAGACGGCTCACATGTTGATGCCCAACTGCTTCGCCCTCGCGGTCACCATCTGCTCGATGGCCGCGGACTTCTCCTTGCCAAAGCGCTGGAGGTACCACTCGCGCTTGACGTGCACCTGGTCGTCCTTCAGCGAGGGCTGCAGCTTGAACGGCCTGTACTCGACTTTGATCGTGAGCGGCAGGTCCGACACTGCTTCGATGGCGTTCGCGAGTTCGGTGTGCCCGATGTAGCACCACGGACAAATCTGCGTCGCCCCGGCAGCACGAACGCATGAGATGAGGCGCCTCCGCGCACACGAAGGGCTCGAGAGCACGCACCATGTCCGAGATCACCACCAACGATACCACCCGCTGCTCCATGGCGTCTCTGCTTCCTCCGGGATAACGGATGCGGACCAAGCGGTGTGCGTCTCAAGACGGCTGTCTGTGTCGCTCGGACAGGATGGCAGAAGAGAAACGAGAGACGAAGTTGACCAATTAGTTCCAGCACGACACAGCCTAGCGATACAGACAAGAGAGGGGAGAATGGGTGGTATAAATGTGCGCTACTGACAAATGGCATTGGTCACTTGGGCTTATTGGTGAGCAAAGCCCGACCCGGCTGCGGGTTCAGCCGGCTGCATGTGACTTCCCATCTCGTCCTGGCGTCTGTCCTGCTCAGTGCTCAGTGCTCTCGATATCCATCGTCCGCACCTGGCGAGGCGGCAGCATAGTACTGCAAGCATCCCGTCGGCTCAGATTATGTCTTCTAGATCTTCATCTTCAGCAGCCCTCGGAGTGTGGCTTCAAGGATCTTGGCGGTTGCTGCCTGGCCCGCACCCAATGGTCACCAGTGGGAAAGTTCTTCTGTCAGCACGATCGAACTCCCTCCGCGAATATCACTGACAAGCGCCCCTCAGGTCCCAGTGTTGACACCCTCGTTGGCGGATCAAAAAGAGAATCAACACATAATGGCGGCCATTCGAGTCCTTTGCTTCTTTGTGCAGTTCTGAACACCCCTGCATGCCCCCTGCATTCTCTGAGCCCATAGCCATCTCATGAGATCCTGGCTGCGTGCCAGAATACCTCATCTGAGATTCCTGCAAGAAGCATAGAGCACGGCGGTGCATATAGACGGCACTTGGGATCGATTCGCCACACGTTTATAGACCTGCCTCATTCGCGAATCGTGGAAACGCTGCACATCCGATAGTGGAGCCTGTGAGTCGCAGGCACACCCTGACCATGCTGAATCCTCATATACACAGGCGGGAATCGACGGTGCGGCGGCGACAGCACTGCGGTGTACCGCGACGAGCGTTCCTGTCTCAGGGAGGTGAGAGCCGGCACGGAAGGAACGCGGATTCGGTGGGTTCGCTGTCCGTTGGAAGCAGCGGGCGTGGACCTCCACCCCTCTGCCTGCGCTTGGTTCCCATCGTGCGGCTTCGTATGTGCGGCGCGGCCACATTGGCTCCTGTATCCGGCCGCCTCCTGCCCGTTTCGTCGCACGGAAGTGGACATCTCAGAGTCCGCGGCTTGTGTCTATCTAGGCTCGGCGGCAGATCATCAGCGGCGCCTGCTTAGTACGTGGGTGCGGCGAGAGAGGCTTACGCCGAAGTGCTTATGTGGAACTGCTTATGTGGAACTGCTGTGTCATACCATGCGGTGGTGAGTGGCTGCAGACTATATAGCTCGGGATTTACCTTCTGTGCAAAAACTATGCAGAGGACATATTCGTAATGTATCGAGTGTGTCCAGACCCCAGAGTTGGATCTATCACGAGGCGCTGCACTACCGCACGTTCCGACAACGGGGCAGGGGAGGTTATTGGATCGATCTCAACCCAAGCTCAGTGTCGACACTGTCGACGACTACGAGCGATGGTCCAGCGACAAATGCATCTGCGACCAGGACCCCATATTACACCAGCATCAACTCAGCCTGCCCGTTTTTTCGAAAAGCGAGCGTGGTGAGCTCCGCCATCCGCCTTACCCCGCCGCCATCCTTTCTATCGTGCCGGGGCACATGACTCGGTGTGGGTGGCAACGACTTGCGCTCCCTTCCATGCGACGTACGATCGAGGACGGCGAGCGGCGAGCGGCGGGCGCTGTGTCCAAACTCTCCCGGCGTACGCTCTGAGCGTTTGACTCACGCGCATGCTTCGTGGTCACGAATCTTCCCCGCAATCCGTGCCCCTTCGCTTTTTTGTCTAATGCTGGCTGCGGACTCTCACGCCAGGACGGTGATCCCCATGCTCTCCTTCTCGTCCAGCCTTTGGCCATGGAAGCTGGCCTTCCACCCCTTGTATCCATGGAGCTCGAGGATGTGTGATGCTACTACACCTCTCCGGATCGGCAACGGCCAAGTCGCCGTGTACGAACGCACTGTGTATATGTAGTGCCGACGGCGAGGTTTATTCTCTGCGCCACTTTCCACATTCCTGAGATTGCTTCGCCACTACTTCGCCGACGAAGTAGATCGACATCGCCTGTACCGTACGTTATCGAGGGCGAATGAGATGTTCGATATCCCATCGCTTAAACAGCACGCCTCGACGTCTTTCAGACTGAGAGAATGTCTGTCAATGTAGAGCTTAAGCAATGCCCAATCCAAATTGGGGGCAAAAAGGTAGGATCACACACGCCTAGCTTACGACACCAGAGGGATTTGAACCCTCGCTCCCATAGGGAAACAGATAAGCTTCAATTCGAATCTGTCGCCTTAACCACTTGGCTATAGTGCCTCGATCAAGAGTGTGCCTCAGTCCAGTTATGTAATAGCGGCCAAGTCATTCAAAGGAATTCAAGTGGATGTAGCATTGCCTTGCAGTGGTGGTTTGAAAAACTGTTTGCATGGATGACACTGACAGCTCAAGCACCTCTTCGTCGTAAAATGGAGGCGGGATACGTCGACGTCCTGCATCATTGATGATGGCTCGGACCGGACGCGAATTCGGGCCTCCACTTGGCGCCGGCCATTGAGATGCGGCAGAATTACAGGAACGGAGACAAGGCCGGACGACGTGCTATTTTGAACGAGACAGCGCATTATGTGGCCGAAGGAAGAGCAGAGCGAGGCTCACACAAGGCGGCACTTCGCAGTGTTCTGACCGGAGCCTGTCGCGCCGCGCTGACGAAGTACCTGCAGAGCCAAATAAGGAAAGTGACCTCGCGACTTCAGACTCCGCAGGCTGCCTGATCATTCCTCTTTCTGCCAGGACGTCGTTTGACGTCGCCCTCAACCTCTTACCCTACCCCTCTCCCCGTCGGTCATTCCTCCCTTCGCAATGACCACCCCCCATGTAATTGCCTCGTCGTCTGGGCACCATACCTCCCAGTCCGCTACCTCCAATGGCATCGTCGGAGCACACTTCCGCGTTGGCAAGAAGATTGGAGAGGGGTCTTTCGGCGTTGTCTTCGAGGGTACGTATGTGTATGCTCTTATCCGAAATTTTGTCTCAGAGGTCGTATCCGAGCAGGTACGAATATGCTCAACAGCCAACCTGTCGCCATCAAATTCGTAGGTGCAGTCTGACAGAAGATGTCGCCTGTCTTACAAAGGTATCGCGAACCTGCAGGAACCCAGGAAATCGGAGGCACCGCAATTACGAGACGAGTACAGGTCGTACCGAACATTGAACGGCACGCGTGAGTGGCAAAGCTCCACGGCGCTTGCGCTTGCAACGTTGTAGTTTGGACTGACCTCTTCACTTGCGTGCGGATAGCGGGTGTTCCTCAGGTTCATTATTTCGGGCAGGAGGGTTTACACAACGTTCTCGTTATTGACCTCTTGGGTCCGAATCTGGAAGACCTCTTCGACATGTGTGGCCGCAAATTCACCATCAAGACCGTCTGCATGGCTGCAAGACAGATGGTAAGCGTCGTGTTCCACGGAGCTTGCAACACTGCGGTGGAGTGTCTCGGGCATAGCACCCGCTCTTGCTGCTGCCATGTCCATGAGGCTCTCGCACAGCAATCGAGCATTCATTCATAACCTATCCGATTGTCCCGAGCGCTTCCCTTCTGACGGTGCTTTTGGGTTCCTATATATGCTGCTTCTGATCACGAGTGATTGGTGTTCATTTGCATTCGTGGTCCGGGCCGATCTCTCGCGATTCCGGTCCTGTGCAGCCGGTCTGATACATCGCTGATCTTGTATCTAGGTGACCCGTGTACAGGCAATCCACGACAAATCCCTCATTTACCGCGACATCAAACCCGATAATTTTCTTATTGGTGTGCCAGGTTCGAAGACTGCTAACACCATTCACATAATTGGTACGTATTACCGTCCCGGTGGGCGTCTCGTACATGCGATCGTCTTCGACTTCATACACAATAGCGTTCCTGGTGCGCCGGCTTTGAAGCTGCCGCGATCCCACCAGAGTATCTCGTTGCTAAGTCGTGATATCGACTGTTACGGCATGTTCGGCGAGTTCGCCTCATGTTTTTCACTAACCTCCAACACACCCGGCCTCCATGTGTCTGCGATCTTGCCCCTCCACCACCTTCATGTGACACATCCCCCTGGCTCACCTGGGCTAGATACCCCCATTGCTCGAATGCTAGGCTGATCTGACCGCTAATTCTTCTTCTTTAACAGATTTTGGGATGGCGAAGCACTACCGCGATCCCAAAACAAAAGTACACATTCCTTACCGTGAGCGCAAGTCGCTCTCCGGCACCGCCCGGTACATGTCCATCAACACGCATTTAGGGCGCGAGCAGTCGCGCCGGGACGACCTTGAATCACTCGGCCACGTTTTCATGTATTTCCTTCGTGGTGGCCTGCCTTGGCAAGGTCTGAGGGCGGCCACGAACAAGCAGAAGTACGAAAAGATTGGTGAGAAGAAGCAAAGCACGCCCATCGAGGAGCTGTGCGAGGGCTTCCCGGGTAAGCAATCTTGCTCGTAGCTCCGGTGGAGTGCGGTTTCCTCATGACTGACGCATTTACACGCCTATACAGAGGAATTTGCCATCTACATGAACTATGTACGCAAGCTCGGCTTCGAGGAGACTCCGGACTACGACTTCCTCCGCGAGCTTTTCACCAAGGTGCTGAAGACGCTCGGAGAACCCGACGATGGCATCTTCGACTGGATGCTCCTCAACGGTGGTAAGGGTTGGGAAGCTGGACACGTGCGTTGCATCTGTTCCTCACTGCGTGCCATCGTGCCATCGCTGATCACCATGACTCCGTTGTAGACGCCGTCGACGCTGCTCGCCCAGGCGCACGCCAACGCCGCGTCGCCCCACACGCCGCACCGCGAGCACCGTTCGCGGGACCATGGTGGGCACCGCCGTTCGCGGCCGGCCTTGCAGGAAGCGCAGTCGCCGTCCTCGCCTCTCGTGCTTGCGCCGACGCCTGCACACGTCAAGAGCACGTCCCGGCGCGCTGCGGCACAGGACTCGCGTGGCGGCTCACGTGAACATGTTAGCGTGCAGCCGATTGCGCCGACGAGCCGCCGCGCAAGCCAGCAGCAGATCCGCGGCGAGCGCGACAGCACAGGACTCAATGCGCCGCACCCGTACGCGACGCCGAGCCCCAGCGGGTACCGCCCGAACCCGTACGGTCGCTCGTCGCCCGCACCGCCGGGCGCGACACCGGCCGCGAACGGGGCGCCGCACACCAACACGTCTGACTCGTTCGTATATGGCCAGCAGCAGGGCAAGGGTGGCACGAACTCGCGCGATGGGACGACGACGGCGGGCACAGGTGCAAATCGGGAGGGGCGAACGGAATGGGGACGCGCGGGATGGGGATGTACGACCGGGACCAGATGGCGCGGGTCGGGGAGCAAGACGAGCATGGTGGGGGCAGGAAGAGGGGCTTTTTCTCCGTGTTCTGCTGTCGGGCTGAGGCGCGCCCGACGTGCGCGCACTGGATGCGCGCTGATTATGTAGGTTTGGGCTTTTCGCAGCGTCCTGGTGTTGCTGACGCCGTGTGTGCAGTGTTTGCGCACGCTCCAAATCATGACGGCTCTGACGACCACGACATCTACATTATTCCCCACCGTATATTGCCAGGATACATGCCATGCACGACTCTTCCTATGCACGTTGCACAACACCCACACTGCGCATTCACCCGCATACATCGCTCTCCGTATCTGCTCTCAGCCATTAGAGGACACTGGCACCGTCGGTCTTGAAGTCGTCTGTTCTCTGTCCATTGTCTGACTCTCTATCTCTATCTTGCGTGATACCTTGTACATCAGTTGCTTTCGTGTCCCCCGTCTGTTCTTCGCGTGCCCTGGGTGGACTTGGAGCTGCAGCTGCAGGTGTCGGACGGCCGTTGATATCTATTCCTCACTTTGGCTATCCTATTGGCATGTCGCACGGTTGTCTTGTATGCATCTACACTACAATATATTGTGTTAGACGTCACAACGGTGTGCAGGAAATGTTGCGCCCGCAATTGAAAGTTTAATATCAATATACATGGTGATCACCTGACACAGTCTCAGAGTCATGTGATGAACGCGTCTGAGCTAAAACACGTGGCGCCGCAGTATGTCCGCATCATCACGCGTCATCGGCTCCTTCTCACGTCCCCAAATACCCCAACGATAACAACAGGTCACCGGTCACCGGTCACCGGTCACCAGGCCATACTCAGCGACTCATGATGCATGATCTGCATGGGAGACGACAATGCGAATGGGTTCGAATGCAGGTCATATGTACAATCTACGGATTACTGGGGTCTTCGAGTATGCAGCTATCGTACAACGGCAGCGAAAAAGTGGCGACTCTGGGATGGGGGATGGCAAGAATAACGATAGACACGAATATGCAGCTTTACTTTCTCTCCTTCCACGCGTTATCCACGCCCGCTTTTGCGAACTTCTCCGCGTATTCGAACAGCGGCGGGGGGTTCCGCTCTGCCAACGAGCCCGAGCCCGCGCGGGTGCCCGCCTTGTCCATCAGGCCGAGCCCACCAGCGCTCCCGCCCCGCTCGTGCATCTCGCCCGGCGCGTTGCTGTGCCGGACGGCGGAGCTCTCCTTGACGCCGGACTCATTCTGCGGGGCACGGGAGGTGATGGGGTGAGCGAGGCCCGGGCTAGTGGAGGCGTACTGCGCACCCTCGGTCGCCGGCAGCTCCGTCGCGGCGTAGTGCTGGTACGGCGCGGAGGTGGGGTACGCGCCGGACGGCACCGCGTACGGGGTGTTGGCGGGGTCGGGCTCTGACACGACGTAGGTGCGCGTGCCCGCGGAGGAGACCTGCGGGTCGGGCGAGTGGTCGAGCTGCTTCTCGTATAGCGGGGAGACGTGCGACGTGGGCGGCGGGGGCGTCGTCAGGGGGGATGAGAGCGAGACGAAGGGTGAGTGGAAGGCGCGAGCCGTGCTTGGTTTTGTGGGCACGGTGTGAGAGAGCGCACGAGTGTGTTTGGACAGAGAGCGTAGGACAGACATGGTGGTGAAGAGTGATGGTGGTTTGGGAGGAAGTAGTGGGGATATTTGGAGTGGTTGCTCAATTGGTGTGATGAAATATATAGTGGGACGAGAAGCCGAGAAAGAAGCCAAGGAGCCGACCAATTCAGCGGTGGGGATTGGGGCCATCGCGTCACCAGGCCTCCAATGGATGATCGTTCCATATTCCATCGTCAGAGCACCCAGATCTCGTACAATCGATCTATTGCCGCTCCTCTCAGGTCGCCTCATAATATTCTATCCTCCAACAGTCTCCAACGCTCACCAGACTAAAAAAATGGAGCACACCCAGCAAGTCCTTCGAGCCGGGATCGAACCAGCGACATTGAGATATATATCGTTGTAACCATTACAGTCTCACGCTCTTCCAACTGAGCTATCGAAGGCTAAAAGGCATCGGCAAAGAAGATATAATGGGTTCACCAGTGGTTATATCGGTTGCCTTCGTCACGGTACACACAGAGAACGTGTACAACTGGATCCGGACATGGCAGTCGTTCCTTCATATGGACCGCTATATGATGGAAGAACATGTCTCTAAAACAAATCATCTAGCTTTTCAAGTTGGCCATTGGTACGTACAATAATGAAATCTTCCATGACTTGTCAATCCTTAGAGTTCTTGTGGAGGCACGTAACATGTTGAGCGGGACCACATGAATTCCGTGGTCTCCACTTTTTCTGAGACTTGTTTCCCAGATCCTCATACTGCTGCGCTTGGTAGGGATTCTTCTTTATAACACGCCTGGAAACAACCTGCTCGTAAAGGACCATATAACCTTATATTTCCCCCCAGAATTTCAGCGCTGTGCATTCAACGCGCAGGCCAATCTCTGTTGATTGCACTATACGATATGTGCTCACCAGTCTGTAGAAGGCCTATCAGCCCTTCTGACAAGAACCAGGTCTACGCGGCCAAAGTCCACGTACCGAGGCATCAACCTGTCGTCCCCGCCTGGACATGGCCGATGGGCCCGCCATCGTTCTGCGGCGATGTTGAAGCCCGACGTGGAACGGTCGATCGCAAGTACACGGATACTCATTCTGTGCGGTCGCTGTGCGTCAGCTCACAGCAGCTACCGCTGTTCTCGGAGGCGTAGCCTTGTGGAAATGCGCAGTCAACACAACATCGTAGATGTCAAGCGGGTGTCTGCGAATGAATGTCCGCCACCGTGGGAGCGATACCTGTGCAGTCCGGCCACGGACTCGGAGCGATCAAGTAAATCAAATGCTGAGTCCTTCCCGCATCTTGTCATGAACTCAGCAGGTTTGGAAGCTGACGCACTGCCCGCCGGCATTGGACTGCGATATTCTCTCGAAAGGATATTTCTGCGATTTGGATTGTGACACTCTCCAGTCCCGAAAATCCAAGGGTCCATTATGTTGGCTTCTGAGCTGGCTGGTCCGACTGACTAGACCCGTACGAGCGGACGTGACAGGGACTGATCACTTGGGCGATCGGATGCTGCATGCGGGCTGTGGTGCGCAAGCTTCCTTGACTTGCGTTGAGCGGACACTGATATACCTGTCTTTTCGTCATGCTACCGTCCTAATCTCCAGGATTGGGAGCATAGCACGTTCGCGTGATTGTATCCTCATCGTGATCGGCCGATAGCAGGACCCTCCCCTATGAGTGCACAAGTGGCGAACTCGCGATCGTACGACATAAGCCAGGGTGGGGGCTCCAGTACCCAGCTTCACCGGTACTATTCAGAAAGCAAACGAGGGGTAACCGGTAACCGCACTCCACGAAGTCGCACAGTGCGACTCATTCGTCCGAGTGGGTTCAACATCCGCGAAGACTGTGCCGTCTGTGATTTCCGAGCCAACACTGACGTGAGTGATGGATCGTAAACAATATATATCTTCCACTATGTCGTCCAATGATCACGTCCACCGCTCGCGCAGGGCACGCGTTTGTCTCTAATAGTCGATACAATGCCCAATAATAGAGGAGGCAGGGATTATACAATACTACACTAGGTGCTGATGCATGCACACAAGAAGGAGAGCACACGTTGATCATGCGACGAGCTTGTCCTCGACGACCGCGACGTCCTTCTCGGACGACGTCGACCATGTCTCGGTTTCCTCGCCGGTGCCCATTTGTGAGGTGTCGTAGCCGTGCGCCTCGAGGTATTCGCGGAACTAAGCGGTGTGCATATTAGCAATGTTGTCTTGAAGTAAGATCGAAGAGTACGCACCGCACGGTCTTCTGCTTCCATGCCATCGTGCGAGAGGGGACGGATGAAAAAGAACGTAATCAGGGCGCTGAGAATGGCCAAACCTAATATGTAACGATGTCAGATCTCTGCGTGCCTTGTCAACAGATAAGCCGCCACGCACCACTACCAATCCAGAAAGGCCCGGTGTTCCCCTTGGTGGAGCTAGCACCACCGAAGTCTACAATCGTGGTAAGTGATCTTGCCCTGTGCCCAGCTATGCACAACCCAACGTACTATCGATAATCACGGGGAATACTGCACACGACATTTTGGTGAGTAATAATACGAACACGATCGCGGACGGAGACATACCCCAGGTACCAACGAAGGCGCCGATCTTGCCAACAGCGGCGGCAATGCCGTAGAATTTCCCGCGAACGGCGGTCGGGCCACTTTTGGCGGCGAGCATGCCAAGACAGTTTCCGGGCCCGAGCTCACCGAAGCTCAAGAAGATGCCATACACAACCTGATTGTATGCCTCAACATTTGGAACGAGAGAGCAAGTGATGGAATGTGCTTACCGCGAAGCCACCGATGTGGCGGGTCAGTCTGCGATTGTGTGAGCATCGGTAAATGTAAGATTATGGGCATATCAGACGTACTGAACGTAGGCTCCGCTCATTGCGAAGCCCATGATAGCTTGGCAGACAAGACCGAGGATCTGAGTAGAATGTGTAAGGCCTCGCATCCTTGTTCAGGTAGTACTGCTTACCATGGTATATTTGGGTCCGAGGTAGTCGACGACGAAGGCACCACCAACGGTTCCTGCACACGCACGATGAGCATACAAACGAAAAGCAGTTCAGGAGTTTTTGAACATACCTGGGATGTAAAACAAATTGATGACGACGTTCCAGCCGAACACCTTGCTCAGCGCAGTCGAGTTACCAGTGATGCTAAAGCAAATCGCGTTAAAATCGTGGAAACTTGATGTATACACCAACGTACTCGTCAACAATAACAGAAGAGTAGATGCCGAACTAGAGAGAGACGATGAGATATGATTCTTTGGCATCAAAGGAAAGCGTTTAAACGAACCGGATAGCTGCGAAGATACCATGAGTTAGACTTGTACGAAAATATATGCAGAGATATGGACGCACGTAATGAAATCATAAATGAACCAAGTGAGGCAAATTGCGGTGAGATTCATCCAGTAGCGCTTGATAATGAGCCAATACGGGACGCTCGCTCTAGCCATCGAGTCCCGCTTGAAGCGCGCAGGTTCCTCCATTTGGAGACGCCAGACAAAAACAGCAATTGCAGGAATCATACCGAGGCCGAGAGACAGGCGCCAAACGGCACGCAGATGGCTTTCGCCAAAGCTACGAGCCCGTCATGAGCAAGTATAACATGAGGTAGTGCAATATGACATACATCCAGTAAAGCACAAGGGGTACGAAGGCAGCAACGACGAAGCCGGTGTCAATCATGCAATCTGTGCAAATATTTGTCGATGAGCACATCTATTCGCTCTATGAAGTGGATATATGCGCACTCGTTGCTAGTGCAAACCATCTGTGCTGTGCGTTCTTGTTTACACCAGGTCCTTCCGACTGCTCAGAGGCAGCAACGGACCCACACGGGTACTCGGCACCAACACCGATACCAAGAAGGAATCTGGCGTTGGAGTGAGCAAGCTTGCGACAAGCTGTATTAGCGACGAACTCACCGGCAGGCGCTCAACATGGCAAGCAAACCACCAATACTGTGGTGTGCTCCGCTGGAAGCCGCAGACAGTCCGGAGAAGAAAGCAACAATTCCCGTAGCGAACATCTGGGGCGGGCACGGTATGGGTCGTTCATATCAAGCGTACAGCTGTGCGACTATGCAGACTCACCATTCCAAACTTGCGACCCATCTTGTCTGAGAGATAGCCGAATACAAGCATGCCAACGATTGTCCCCGCGAAAGCAAGACTGGAAAGGGTGGTGGAATAGTTGTGCTTGGAGACTTCATCACCATAGATGCGCTTGAGCACTGCGGTCTGAATGAGCACGTTTCTGAGAGGGCTGCGCAAGACAATCGCACTGACAAGTATTAACTGCAATCGAGATCAGCACACCGATCAGAGGGTCGGAAGAATGCAAGGCTCACCACTTCCAATGACACCGTTAGCGTATCCTTCATGAGAACATCAGCACTGGGAACGATTCTGGGGAGTTTCTGTTGAAGCGCATACCATCGGAAAAAAGTGCCGTTCCACACCTGTGCTGAGAGTTCAGCTAGCGTTCGCAGATAGACCGCAGAAGGACATACGCGAAAATGAGGGAGATCTGGGAGAGGCCCTTCTTTGTCGCTGCCATGTCTGCTCGTCAGTGAAGAGAAAGGAAGAATGTGAAAAGACGAAGAGCTGAGCGGCAGGGTGCGGGGACGGAGCATATGGCATGGCTGCTGATATAGATATGTCGGGGGGAACCTGATCTCCCGTTTTCATCTCTAGATCATTGATGGGCCCTGGCTCCATGGTCAACCTGCCATATATGGCAATTTCTCGCGCACGTTCGCGATAAAGACGGCAGCGCCGTGCGGCCCATACCCTGCCAGCCCGACATAACCTAGACTCCGGCGCCAGAATTCCCCCGAATTAAGAACTCTCTCCCCCTGGGGGCCCTTGAACTCGTCATACTTTGGTCAGTACTATGATCGCTGTGTTGCAATACTAGTACATGTACTTCCTTATCGTTGCACTAGAGTCCTGCAGTGTCCGGTAGATGCAAGTTCACTGCACTCTTTGTTGGTAGCCAAGGTCAATTTGATAGCCCCCTTCGTTTCAAGCTAAGTGCGAATCTACCTAAGCGGAGCGATGTCAGTTGGATATTGCTTATCGGCTTCAAGCTCTCATGTACACCGATTAAACAAGTGAAAGGTGTTATCAAACCCCTAAATGTCCAGGTCCAAAGTCGATCGGCCTGCGCGTTGACAATTTTCACGTTCAGGTACGTACGGTCATGCTTTTCCTCCTGACTTTGAGTCTGCTCACAGTAAGGAGGCGATCTCCCGCATCGCACGTTGTTGAGGCGCGAAGTGAGGCGCGAAAGGAACAATCTAGATCTCGCGGTGATCGTCTCAGCAGCTCATCCGCCAGCGGAACCCAGCTAAAAGCCAGCGGCATCGATCTACACGATCCCCGCCTTATACCACGATCCTCCGGGGGACTA